GAACAACTCCATGGACTATGGAATGAAATTTATTTTCTATTTTTTCAATTATTTTTCAGTTACATTTTTCTACTCCTTTCATTTCAATCATTCAGCGTAGTGGTAGTATTTTTGTTCCACATACGTTTGTTGTTTGTCTATGAACTGATATGAACCCTACGTTTGTAATTTTATTCACAATCATTACTGTTAATATATTATTGGCCCAAATAGCCTTTGTATATTAATAATAGTTGACAACCTATTCAGCAACCCACTACTCTTACTCCAGTTACCAAACTTGTTTTGTACCAAGTCTATTTCTCCCGTTTGATTTTGAACTCAAATAAGTGAGATCAAATAAGTGAGGTGTGTGATTGTGTTGTCCCTTGCACCGTCCAATCCCTTGAGCTAATAAGCCAAATCTTCTTTATTATGAGACTTCCCTGCATCCTACTTCATGTGCTATTGTTCTCTACCGACAGTTGCTCCTTCCTTGCTCTAGCTGTATATATCCACCACCTCTTGAAGCTTTTTGAGATAGACTGTGAGAACTCCTTCTTTGTGAAGCTGAGTGAGAGGAGTGTTGAGAAGGTAGAATAGGTTGTTGCTCCCTTAGCCTTGGTGTGCACAAGGAGACTACCGGAAACCGATCTCCGGCGACCTGAGCCGAATCCGGCAAGACAGAAACGGATCCACAACAGTGGTATCAGAGCCAAGGGCTGTCTCCGCCGTCGATTTAGCTGAATTCCTACGTACGCCGCCGTCCGCCGCCGTCCGCCGCCGTCCGCCGCCGTCCGCCGCCGGTGAAGCTACTGGAATCTCCGCCGCATCTGAATCCTTGTTCTCCGTTGCCTTTCTCAGACGATTTAGAGTCTGGGAAGACCCCCGTCGCCGGAAGTCAGTCGCCCGGCACTGATAGATTCCCACAGAGGAGTTCTTCCATCGCTCTTCATTCACCACTGGATCCGCTGCCGGGAGCTGTCGATTTCCGTTCGTCTCTGGTTTGCTGAGCTCGTCCGTTGCTGGATTGATCCTCAACTGGATCTGGACGAGAGCTGAAGGACTGTAGCCGTTAGCCTGGTTGCGAAGGAGTGCTGGACGTAGCTTGAATGTGGAAGGCCTGGACGTGAATCTTACGCAAGCTGTTTCTGTCGCCTGGGGCTTCACGTTAGAGGCTTGATGCAGGGAAATCAAAATACGGCTTTCTCAATTTAGGCTGGACCTGGTTGATGGGCTTGGGCTACTGGAGGCTTGAAGCAGAAACGTACAAAAGCCAGAGAGAGAGTTGCACGCCAGCTGGTCAAACCTGGTCAACAGGCAGTCTAACCAGTCAATTATTTAGTCCACCATTCCAAAATCCCGTTGTGGGTGGGTAAGGACCAAACACTCTCCTAGTGTTTGGCTATGTAAGTTTTCTTTAAATGAAATTTCATTTACTGTTTTTCATTTAATTTAAACTGTTAAAATTTATTGTTGATTTAATACTTGCTAGAATTATATTTATTTGTGCTATTGTTTAGCCCTATAAATATAGAACTGTTTTTCTAGCTATAGTTGCATTTTTATTTTTTGTGTTAATTTTTCTGTGTGAAAATGTCTGCATTTAATCAGTACGGAATGGCTCCATTTAATGGAAAAACTGATTTTAGCATATGGAAACAGAAAATAAAATGCATATTAATTCAACAAAAATCATATAGGGCCATTAGTCAAACCTATTTGACTTCCGATACGGAAGAGAAAAAGGCAGAAATGAATGAAAGTGCGTGTTCTATAATTTACTTGAACTTATCTGATTGTGTGCTCAGAAAAGTAGGAATTTTAGAATCTGCCAAATCTTTGTGGGATAAACTTGAAGAGCTTTATACTGAAACCTCTCTACCGAGTAGAATGTTTTTACTTGAAAAATTTTTCAAATTTAGACTTGACATGTCTAAAGATATTGAAGAAAATCTTGATGTTTTCACAAAACTTATTTCCGATATTAAGTTGTCCGGTGACAAACACATAGATGATTATACTCCCATTGCTTTATTGAATGCCATACCTGATTCTTATAGTGATGTTAAATCTGCCATTAAATACGGTAGAGATAATATAACGCTAGATATTGTTGTTAATGGTCTCAAAAGCAAAGAGTTAGATTTAAAGCAATCTAGGGGAAGTAAGAATTCGGGTGAGGTGATGCATGTTAGGGGTAGACCTCAGAATAGGTCTCATAACCAAAAATATGCTAGTAATGGAGAATCAAGTTTTAGGAAGAATTCTGCGAATAGGAAGGGTAGATCTAAGTCTAGATCTAAGGCCAGAAAATGCTATAATTGCCATGAATTTGGTCACTTCATTAAGGACTGTCCTAAGCCTAAGAAAAATCAGCATAATGAACATGCTAATGTGGCTTTTGGTGAAGAAAAATTGGGTGATATTTTTATGGTTAATAATCTTTGTGATCATGCATGTGTTAACTCTGTGCTTTCTAATTCCCTATGTGAATCTGATTGGTTAGTTGACTCCGGTTGTACTTTTCATATGACTCCCTTTGAAAATCTTTTTTCAAATTACAAGAAAATTGAAAATGGCTATGTGTCTATGGCTAATGAAAAGAAATGCAACGTGTTAGGAACTGGTGATGTATGCCTTAGATTTTCTTCTGGCTCTGTGTTCACTTTGAAAGATGTTAGGCATGTTCCTGATTTACGTTATAATTTGCTTTCATGTGCATCCCTTGAAAATGAAGGTTTTGAGGGAAAATGGGGGAAAGGGGTTATGAAAATCATGAAAGGATCTCTTGTTATTTTTACTGCTGAAAAGAAAAATAACTTGTATGTGTGTCAAGCTGAACCTGTACCTGATTATGTGTACTCTGTGATAGGTGATAAATCTATTTTATGGCATAATAGATTAGGTCACATGAGTAATAAGGGATTAGATATTTTGCATAAAAATGGTCACTTTGGTAGTGATAAATTATCCCCTATTGAATTTTGTGAATCATGCGTGTTAGGAAAACAACATAGGGTTAGCTTCCCTATTTCTACTTTTCCTAATCAATCTAAGTGTGTTGACATACTTGAGTATTTGCATGCTGATGTGTGGGGTCCCTCTAGTGTTCCTACGCAAGGAGGGAATCAATATTTTCTTTCCATTATTGATGATTATTCTAGGAAAGTTTGGGTTTTGCTCATGAAACAAAAATCTGAAGTTTTTGAAAAATTTAAAAACTGGAAAATCATGATAGAAAACCAAACAGGAAAGAAAATTAAAGCCCTTAGGACAGACAATGGACTTGAGTTTTGTAATAAACAAATGAATGATTTGTGTGCTACTTGGGGTATAAAAAGACATAAATCTGTTCCTTACACACCCCAACAGAATGGGGTTGCTGAAAGGATGAATAGATCTCTCTTAGAGAGGGTGCGGGCCATGTTGGCCACATCTGGGCTCTCTAAGAAATTTTGGGGGGAAACGCTTAATACCGCTGCTTATTTAATTAATAGGTCCCCGTCTGTCCCCTTAGGAGGGAAGTGCCCAGAATCTGTTTTCACGGGCAAGAAGCTTGATTTGACGAACTTAAGAGTGTTTGGATGTGCGGGTTATGTGCATCAAAAGATTGATAAATTGGAACCTAGATCTAAGAAGTGTGTTTTCTTAGGGTACCCAGAAGGGGTAAAGGGTTATAGGCTTTGGGATAGGAGTGAACCAGGGTTTAAAGTAGTTATAAGTAGAGATGTCATTTTTAAAGAAAATGAATTTCCTTGTTTGACTTTACCTGTGCATGTTCCTCATAATGATGCTCCTAATGAGGTGGAGCAAGTTCCTGTTAAATTTCAATCTGAATTTTCTGCTAAAAATGATTTGCATGAAAATGTTCTTGAATATCAAGGTGAGAGTACTTCGAATGAGGTGGAGCATGATATTCATGATGAGAATGTTTTTTCTGAAAATGATGATTTGCATGACTATCAACTTGCTAGGGATAGAGATAGAAGGGTTATTAGGAAACCAGAAAGATATAGGGATTGCAATTTGATTAATTGTGATATATCTGAGTTTGCCTTTAACATATTTGAATCCCTTGAATGCAATGAACCTAGGACTTTTAAAGAGGCTTTAAAGTCTAAATATTCCAAAGAATGGATTAGTGCTATGAATAGTGAAATGGAATCCCTTAAAATTAACCAAACTTGGAAACTTGTTCCTAGACCCGCTAGTTGTTCCTTAGTGGATTGTAAGTGGCTATTTAAGGTGAAGCGAGAATCTGAAAATGTGAGGTTTAAAGCTAGATTAGTAGCTAAGGGATTTACTCAAAAGGAGGGAATTGATTATGCCGAAATTTTTGCTCCTGTTGTTAAGTTCACCACCATTAGAATTATACTTGCTTTAGTTGCTCATTTTAATTGGGAATTAAAACAGATGGATGTAACTACTGCCTTTTTGCATGGTGATCTTGATAAGAATATTTATATGCACCAACCTGAGGGTTTTGTTGACCCTAAATTGCCTGACCATGTGTGTTTGTTGAAAAAAGCTTTGTATGGTTTAAAACAATCACCTAGGCAATGGAATATTAAATTTGACAAGTGCATGCAATCTTTAAAATTTTCTAAGAGCTCTGCCGATCATTGTTTGTATTATAAAAATATTGACTCCGCGCCTATATTTTTATTACTCTATGTGGATGACATGTTAATTGTTAGTCCTTGTTTGAAGTCTATTGAGCATGTCCAAAAATCTCTTTGTGAAAACTTTGACATGAAAGACTTAGGCGATGCTAAGAAAATTTTAGGGATAAGCATTATCAGGGATAGAAAGAAATCTACTCTAGTGTTAAATCAAAGATCATACATTGATAAGGTTTTGAGTAAATTTTCTATGTCTGATGCTAAATCTGTGAATGTGCCTCTTGCTTCTCATTTTGTGTTAAGTAAGGATCAGTCCCCCAAGACTGAAACTGAAATGAATGAAATGAAAAATGTGCCTTATTCGAATGCTATAGGATCGGTCATGTATCTCATGGTTAGTACTAGGCCCGACATTGCATATGCGGTTAGTTGTTTGAGTAGATACATGTCTAATCCTGGAATGCCTCATTGGAATGCTTTGAAATGGCTTTTAAGGTATTTGAAATATTCTGTGGATGTTGGTTTGACTTTTTCTAAGTGCTCTGAAGGTGTTAAATTAATTGGCTATGTTGATTCCAATTATGCTAATGATAGAGATAATAGAAAGTCTACAACTTCTTATGTGTTTACTTTGTGTGGCTCTTGTGTAAGTTGGAAATCCCAACTTCAACCTATTGTTGCTCTATCTACTACTGAGTCTGAGTATGTAGCTGCCACAGAAGCTTTCAAAGAAGCTATTTGGCTTAGAGGTCTTTTGCATGAAATTAATTTTCTTGACAAAAATGTGGTTATATTTTCTGACAGTCAATCTGCTATTCAATTGTGTAAAAATCCTGTTTTCCATGATAGGACTAAGCATATTGATGTTAGATTTCATTATATTCGAGATATTGTTGAAAAGGGAATTATAAAATTAGAGAAAATTCCTTCAGAATTTAATCCTGCTGACATGGGTACTAAATGTTTACCTGTTGAAAAATTTGTTTCGTGTCAAAAGATTTTAAATTTTGATTTTGGATGAATTTTTTCTGTGTTGCATCGGTTTACTATTAACTTACCTAGTGTTTGTTAATAGTTTGGTGTTGGTGTCCCTTCGAACTCGATGACCATTATGGTAGAGTAAAGTCCTTTATGGACTCGGCAAGCTTGGTGTGTTGGCCCCTTTGTGATCCGAGAATACATGGGGTATTCTCTTATATTACTTGTATAATCTTTGCGATAATACTTGTAATAATTCGGCGATGATGAGTCCGCGGTTCCGTGAATTGTCTCAGTGCACTACCTTGGGCCAAAGGTGGAGATTGTTAATATATTATTGGCCCAAATAGCCTTTGTATATTAATAATAGTTGACAACCTATTCAGCAACCCACTACTCTTACTCCAGTTACCAAACTTGTTTTGTACCAAGTCTATTTCTCCCGTTTGATTTTGAACTCAAATAAGTGAGATCAAATAAGTGAGGTGTGTGATTGTGTTGTCCCTTGCACCGTCCAATCCCTTGAGCTAATAAGCCAAATCTTCTTTATTATGAGACTTCCCTGCATCCTACTTCATGTGCTATTGTTCTCTACCGACAGTTGCTCCTTCCTTGCTCTAGCTGTATATATCCACCACCTCTTGAAGCTTTTTGAGATAGACTGTGAGAACTCCTTCTTTGTGAAGCTGAGTGAGAGGAGTGTTGAGAAGGTAGAATAGGTTGTTGCTCCCTTAGCCTTGGTGTGCACAAGGAGACTACCGGAAACCGATCTCCGGCGACCTGAGCCGAATCCGGCAAGACAGAAACGGATCCACAACAATTACCATTTGGGCTTGTAAGTTCAATGTTTCATTATTTTTTCTTAATTTCTTCAATTTTTTGTTGTCGTATTTAAATATTCTAAACCAAAATCAATTAATAGTTTTTGTTGTCTTTTTCTTATACTTTGCACTCTACCGATGTGTACTTGCATTCATTACTTATTATTGCTTTCTTCAATTCTTTTGTTTCTAGGGACTGTTTGTCATTTTGCAAATTTTTTCTGGGATGACCAAATATTGGGTTACAGAGTGTGATGTGGAAAGAAGCCTGTGATTGGTAAGCTGTTCAAGAACCTTAAGTTAGATCATATTCCTAGTCACTTTATTCTATCCCGCTGGTGCAAGAGACATATTCCCAAATCCTGATTTATAATTGAAAAAGGTATTCTACAACGCCGTGTTGGTACAGGAGACTTTTATCTTCCTATTCAGTTGTGGTCGAGTTCGTATACGGTGGAATCTCCGCAGGATGAGCACCCTGCTCCTGGATCCAAAACGGCGTAGTATTGCCCATTTTTAATTAAAAAAATATCACGCGTGAACAGTACACGCGTGAACAGTAACTAGTTTTGTTTTTTTTCTAATTCCAGTAGCGGAATGATGTAAAGCGTGTGTAAAAAAATGTAACTCACGTTAAAAAGAAATGTTACTACTAACCAGTCGAAATGTAACTTGTTTAAAACATTGATTTCAATGTAAACAATAAAAAAATAAGTCAAAATTTTTAATTACTTTACCTAAATAATGAATGTGTTTTGTTTCTAATATTAAGACCATAAAATGTTTAAAAAAAATCATTTTTCCCCAAGAAATCATTTTTGCAAAAAAAAATGAATTAAAAACAGTTTCTTTTTTTTGTTTTAATAAAACAAGTTTATTTTGTGATGTAACTAGTGTTATGGAAAATGTAACTTGTGTTGATAGAAAATCTAATTTAGGTGTATGCAAAATGTAACATGTTGAGGCAAGCCCAAATGTAACACGCATAGAGAAAGATGTAACTCATTTATAAGAAGATGTAACTCATGTATAAGAAGTTGTAATTCATATAATATCAAATGCAACTATAGAAAATGTACTTTAAAAAAAATTGTAATAAATTGGAAAATAATAAGTTAATTCTTGTCATTTAACTAGTTCAAATGTAATTAGTTATTTATATTTGGACATGCTGAAACAAATCCAAATGTAACTTGCCCCAACTGAAAAGGTAACTCACGAATAGAAAAATGTAACTCGCGCATAAAAAGATGTAACCCGGGCACAAGAAGATGTAATTCCATATATTATCAATTGTAACTCCAACAATCAAAATAAACAAACTCAATCTCTTAAAAGGTATATGAATATGTCAAAAAAGATTACAAAATAAAGTGTATGAAAATAACTAAGAAATATTACAGGAAAATACTATGCAATATACGTAGATCTTTTTTATTTAGATTCATAAAATAATTGTTTTAAATTGATAAAGAATAAACAAATACGGAGTAGATTGGTAGTTCCATCTCCGATTGAAGTCCGTGTACATGGACGGCAACACAGCCAGACTTCTTCTCCGACCAGTCCGTCCAGAAGAAAAGCTACGTCATTGCTGTATGTTTTCGCCTTTGAGGAGCTCCGATCCAGATGGTTGGAAACTCTCCTGTTCTTCCCTTGCCGCTGCAGCGCTGCTACAGTATTTTAATTTTTAATAAACAAAAATACACCGTTTTAGGGATCGGTGCACCATGTGAATGGTGGGCCGATCCCACGGTATAATTTGCCGTTGTGGTCGGACATTTATTTGTGATGCAGCAAAAAAATCTTCCTATGTCTTCTACTGATCGATCCTCATCAACATTCAATCTTTCTATGATCACTTGCACCTACAGAAGTGCCTATTCTTTCTCCTCAAGTGGCCAAGAACAAGGGGTCTAGTAGCTGAATTAAAGGTGCAAAGGAGGTTGTCATTGAAGAGAATAAATGATCAAAAAGGATGTGTAGAGCATGTATTAGATGAGTTCATCATGAAAATAGAAATTGCCCAAACACTAAATGACTTTAGATACTGTATTGTTTGCTTTTTCATTTCTGTAAACTTTGAAGCATTCTCTTATGATTCTTATGTAATTGATACAAGTTTGGCATACATCTTGTAATTTTATTCATTTTTTGTATGGCTGCCTTAATAGCATTTAGTTGAAGTTACATTCCTTTATTAAAAAATGTAAACTGTTACGTTTAGAATTCGCACTCCTATTGTTGTTATTATTCAATTTCATGCTACTTTTACTTGTCAAAGTTCACCATTAGATTCTTACTCATTCTAAGTTTATTATTTATAACACATCTCAATCACCTTTGTAATTCGTATACATCCAACACCATAGTCACTTTTCTCATTTATTTGTATAAAACGATACCATGTTTTCTACCCACCATAGTGTCTAAGAAAATGTAAATCATAACAAGTCATAATGTTATTATAAATTAAAAACGTAACAGACAATGTTTGCATCTTCTGTCTTTTCAATTATGTTTCTATTTTTCAATTCTTTTCTTCTCCCTTTTCCTTCTCCTTTGCATAATCTCACATTGGCCATTTTTCTTTGATTTGTATTTGCTAGCACTATTGCAGTTGCATTCTTATCATGTTGTGCACACCTTTTCTCTTTCTTTGAGTTGTAACTCTACTAGAGCGTAATTGCACTGCTTTTGCTGCATGCTTAAGCTTTCTGGGTCTTTACTCCTTCCACTACGTCTACGTTTTGAAATTTTGGACCTTTTGTTTCTTTCCCTCCACAATCTCTGCCACCTAACCTTTTGTGTACTTATCTGATCCTCTTCCTTCGTTCACATGCTTCATGTCTTTAATTTTCCGTCTCATTTCCAACACAGTGCATTCAAGTAAGCATTTAAATGACACAATTGTATTCACACATTTTATACTTTTCACTTTACTCTTATTGCTTTGCATATTTTCTCCTAAAACAATGCACCTTAACACTGCTCCACACTTGTATACTCTTTCCATTTTCAATTTTCATAATCTATAAACTTTCTGTTGGGTGTGTTTCGGAAAATAAAGAAAATTAATTAAAATAAATTAATTAAAATAAAATGACTAGAGAAAAACAAGAAAGGAGATGAAGCAGAATTATTTAAAGCTCGTGCTACGCACGATGTCCTTAAAACGTATTTGTTGCCTCCCACGGTGTTAGGAGCGTTGCAACAATCGTTTCCCAGGATACGATGACTACGAACTAATGTTTGAGCACATAAACAAAAGTTTCAGCGAACGAGAACACAGTATGAACACAGAGGGAATTTTCAGATTGCTAGCAGTGTGTTTTAGAGGTGCAAAACGTGCATGGAGTTAACTGCATTTTATATGTATATAAAGTGCGCAGTTAACTTCAAAAAATCATTTGACTGCCTTCCCGATGGAATTTTTAGCTGAAATTTGGTATGAGTAAACTAGACTTGATCAAGAACATGCTCAAAAATTTCTACCGGGAAGGGGCCCAAACGTCGAGGTCCGTACGGAGGTCCTGACAGGAACACTACTCTCTCTCTCTCTCTCTCTCTATATATATATATATATATATATATATATATATATGGCCTGGATGGGCCCTATATATGTATGGTGGGTCGGCGGAAGATGGGCCTTGTGCAACCTTTCAGATGGAGGACGGGTGATTTTACTCCCATGGAGATTCAAAGTGCTATTAATCTTGATTCAAATGGAGTGCCTTATGTTTTTTGAGTTTTTCAAGTTTCTTTGGGTAAGGTTTGGTCCCTCCAAATGTTGTAAGTACCCTCATTTTGTTTAATAAAATCCGGTAAATGACTCCCGGCATTTACCCCACTGATTTTGGTGGTTGGCCTTCCGGGGTAAAAAAAAAAAGAAATATATATATATATATATATATATATATATATATATATATATATATATATATATATATATATATATATATATATAGGGGAATGATCAAGTACAAATTGTGCTTATTGTGCAAATGTTTGTACAATGCACCTTGACGTTATTTGCATTGCATATTGGGGTTCAAAGTGTTGCATATTATATAGTCATAAAATAACAGTTGCACATTAACGTTCAACGAGTTGCACCCTAGAAAAGTTAGGTTTTATTACAAAAATGTCACCTTGCCTTTATATCCTTTAGATCAACTCATCGGATGACCAAAATAAGTTTGTACTTTGTAAATTAAGCATGGTTTGTATTTGATCTCTATTATATATATATATAAATATATATATATATATATATAGATTCTTTATCATTTATGCTTATCTTTATTGTATCTGTAGTTCTTATATCACATATTGTGAGATGAGTGAAGATAGATAATATAGAATAAACACTTCGAGACTTCTGGATGGAACTTATTTAGGAACTTTAGAGTACAACTAATTTCAAGCTTAGACACATTTATTATTCATAAAAAGTGGAATGGTTTTCATAATAGTTACAAATATCGAGTATCCGAAAGATAATAAAAGCTCATGTATAGACTATAGAGTAACAATCATAATTATCACTAAATAATGTGAGATAGTAATATGATACATAGTACTAATTATTATCATACTCATTAGACAAGATAAATTTAGGATAAATAATACTCTTTCGTAATTTTATACTCCCTCCATTCCTTAAACTTTGCTAACTTTCCTTTTTTATTGTACTCCTAACGTTATCACTCTTCGATTTAAGCAAAGAATTCGTGGTTCCAATTAATTTTCTCTCCTCTGGACAAACCTCAACAACACAGTTTTTACTTTATTAATTCTCGTGTCGGCCAAATTTGGCCAAGTTTTAAAGGATAGAAGAAGTATTAATTATGTGTCGCTAAAAATTATATACTTGCACTCTAATATATATCATGCTTTAATGTTTAAACAATGTGTATGTATCCGTGAAATAATTTTTACACATGAAATGAATTATCTCCAAAAAACTAATTCCATTAGTTATCTGTGCAACACATGGATCGATTGACTAGTTTAATTCATTTTAAAAGTAGCTTTTAGTTGTTTAACACCGGCCATTCATATTTTCCCAAATGGATGTTGTCTGAATGATTCTCCTTTCACTTTGTTACATGTCTTATTTAGCTCAGACATAAATGATCACTCCTAAAGCGTGAAACCTAAACACCAATAATGTGGCACATCATTTAGTTCTTGGACCAAAAAAATCACAGAGAGAAGTCACCAATGCCTAATACGGAGTACGAAGTAATAGGTATATGTCTATTATTCGATTAAAGAGCATGCATGCAAATAAACGACCCGCAAGGACCCGCCCCGCCCACACAATGGGGCAGGTCCGGCCTCTCGTCTTGCAAATGGGACGGGTCCGGATATTAGTATTGACTCGTGTCACCTCGACCCGCCCTGCTCAATATATAAATATATATAATTAAAAAAAAGTTATACTACATATACATATGCGCACATATGTGTGTATGTGTAATAATTTTTTTTAAAAAAAGGTCTTATAATATATTAATATTTATATTCGAATGAGATAAGCGGCTAATTGTCAATGTCTTTTCTATATTTAACATTTTACATATTCAATTATTAATATAAATGGATTAACTATTCGAGTCAGGGTACTTTTTTCTTAATTTTTGACATTTTAGCATATCGTGACTTTGGTTTAATATAATATTTTTTATAATTATTTGGAGATAAACTTTATATATATTCAAGTGATAACGAATTCACGCAAATAGAAATGCATACTGGCTAGCTAATTAGGTTACGGTGGGGCGGGAGGGTCATGGGTCAATAAGAGTTGACCCGTGCGGGTCACGGGGCGGGGCGAGTGCACCTAGTAAAGTCACAGGGCGGGTCTGGGTCTTGCAGTACCCGCCCCGACCCATTGTCATGCCTATAAAGAGAATGATATCATTGTGAACTAATTATTGAGATTGGAATGTGAACGAATTTGTAAAAAACAACTCATTAAAGAAGTTTTCACCTTTTGACTTAAAAAATTAAAATGAGTGTTCTCAAGTGATAACTTCTACTTGAATTAACAACTAAAAACTAAAAATTGAAAATAGGTGGATGATGCTTTAAACTGTTCTTCATTTTTTCTATTACACAAAATGTTTTTTTTATCAAAGACTATATATAAACTTTTACTTTTTCAAAATCACTTTATTTTCAAAAATTACCAATTTTTTATAGAAACAATGTCATGTTGTATATTACTACGTAGTAGCTAGCAGAGTTTCCCCAGACAAAAATATGGCTAGATATGTTTTTTGGACAAAAATATGACTAGTCATTGTCTACGACTAACTGGACAAGAGTCACTATAATGTATTTCAGAGTGACAAGTCATGGTAACTGATAAGTCATTGGGAACTAGTCACTGAATATGTCAATTTTCTGGAAATTTTTAAAATAAGTATATTTTTATCTTTTGAATTTAATTTAGTGATATTCATGGAAAAACACCTTTTTACTACTCCCTTCATCTCATTTTACTTGTCATACTTTCCTTTTTGGGTTGTCCCAAAGTAAGCTTCACATTACTTTTTTGAAAAGAAGTATGTGATCAACTACAACATTAATTTCATTTTATCATAATTAAATTTCAACCGTAACTTTTACTTTTTCAACCACTTTATTAATAATTGTGTCAAACCAAAGTATGACACATAAAATGGGATAGAGATAGTATTAAGCAATTTCTCCAAAATCATTTAAAAGCACTTTTTAAAGTAGAAGCAAATGCAAACACCGTAGTTGGGTCGGTATTGAGTCGTTACATTACTTTTTAGGAAAAGTTCCCGAAATAGGACTAAAACAGTTTGAAAATTCCAAAATAGGACTGTCATGTTTTTTATTCCCAAAATAGGAGTAATTACTGACAAGTTTGGAAAATACTGTCATGTTTGAAGTCTGGTACTGGCAAAACATGACAATAATTAGTCCTATTTTGGGGATAAAAACATGTCAGTCCTATTTTGGAATTTTGAAACCTTTTTAGTCCTATTTTGGGTAATATCCCTACTTTTTAGCGTAAATTTTGTTGTTATTATACTGTGTGTCATTGACTCATTACACTAATTCGTCTGCCCATCTTGCTACTTTCTCATTCAATTGATTTCTTCTTCTTTTTCATTGTCATCTTTAATTATCTTCTTCTCCTTTATCAAAATATTAAGAATCTTACCACGACTTTGTTCTTCTTCATCTTCATATTAAATTACGAACAAATCAATGTTTTTTCTTCTATAAGAAATCAAAACTAATGAAGTTTTATTAATCTAAAATAAAAAATTGTATTTGTATAGTTGTAAGTGAAAACCCGCATCTTTTCTTGAAACCCTAGCTACTTTTTTCCCAATTCATATTTGAAATTTAACAAAGCTCATCGGGTTCACAACTTACATAAAAACACATTGCACTTACATACTTGCATCGGGTCAGAGTATGGGGGCACCTGGGCTGCTGGGCGATTTCACCTTTGGGTTGTCAATTGTCATTGGTTCTACTTCTAATTACTACGACAATAGTACATGATGGACTTTCGATGCTCAAATTGAAACCTTTGAGACCGGTTCTCAATAAATGAGAGTATAAGTACCTGATGGTCCCTGATGAGGTAAAAGTTTAGAAGGGGGAGGGGTGAATAGACTTCTAAAACTTTTTGGTTTATAAAGTCTTACCCTCTTTAAGAGTTTGATTCTAAACCTTTTGAGAGGTTATAGAATACACAACAGAAGTCTTGACCTCTTTTAGAATGGTTGGTTTACAAACTTTCCAGATATAAAAAGAATGACTTTCTATTGGGATAATTTGAGTTTGCACCCTATATTATTGTTCAAATTGGACTTTGCACCCCGTTTTTAAAAAACTTTGTTTTTGCACCCCAAACCCTATATGAAAAGACAAAAATGCCCCTCGATCATGAATATGTTGAAGGCCAAAATAATTGTTAATGGAGGGGCATTTGTCTTTTCATATGAGCTTGGGGTGCAAAATCTAAGATTTTTAAAAACGGGGTGCAAAGTCCAATTTTGACAATAATATGGGGTGCAAACTCAAATTACCCCTTTCTATTTATAGTAATTTGACCGAGGAATGTTTCAAGACTTTTTCTGTGAAGTTGGGATGATAAGAGTTCTTGCAAAAGACACTAAATTCACTGGATAATGACTTTAGCAACTGGTTGTTGCTAGAGAGCTGTTCAGGGGGTTGTTTAGTGAAAACTTGAACTCTTTGTAAAATGAAAGAGTAAACTTTGAGAGGATATAAATGGAGTTCAAAGGGGTGTAAGGCACTCTGGAGAATGGTGTATAAATTAGCTTCCTTTGGTGAAAACAATTTTGACATAATTGTTTTCACCTTAACCGGGTATACAAACTGGGTTTGTATTAGTGCAATTTAAGTTTCTTTGAAAAAGCTATTTGTTGAAAAATAAGATTTGTAGGACAAGATACAATGGGTGTGTGTTTGGGTAAACTTAGAAAGTAAATGACATAGTGAGTTATCCTGGTTCAGAGGTGGATTATTAATCCTCTCACATCCAATCTAATCAAATGATACATATGTGTCATCGCCACCAAGAGTTATATGTATTTCTCTGATCGATTGTCCACCATATGTTCCCCCATCGCAGTACATGAATAATGGCACTGTAGATTTCCACTAAGATATTCAGCCCAATACACTTAGTGCTCGATATAGACTTGATCACAGACCTAGATTGCCAGGTTTTCACAAGTAGTTAAAACACTGCTCCAAGCTACTCAATCCTTAGGTGTTTCACTAATGAACCCAACTGGTTTAGAAGCAACTCAGTCCTATTCTACCCGGCCCACACTTTGGATACCCTCCAAA